GTTTTCCTATTTCTGCACCCGGAGGCCCCACCCTGCCCTAAGGGATAGCACCTGGGTTCCCTCACCATCTAGAGTCTCCCAAGCAGCAGCTGTCCAAGCCATACTCCAGGGCAGTGTGGGTTTGTCTGGAGCTGATGGGCTTCGGGTCAGGGCCTGACTGTTGTCTCTCCTTGCAGCAAACCACTCTTTCAAGAAGATTGAGTTCCAGCCTCCAGAAGCCAAGAAGTTCTTCAGCACAGTGCGAAAGGAGATGGCTCTGCTGGCTACCTCACTGCCCGATGGCATCATGGTCAAGACATTCGAGGACAGAATGGCAAGTGGGCTGCTGGGAACTTGGGGAGGCCAGATAGGTACCATTGGGCACTAAAGTGTAGCATCACCTACCTTGCCATGTTTCCAGGGCGGTGGCTCAGTCACCTGAGGTCCCAGAATGGAGTCCTGCAGCCACATGGGCACATTTGAGGGGCCACCTGGTCCTTTCTCTAAAATGTAACCAAGTGATATTGGCGCACACCTTTAACCAGTCGGGAGGCAGAGGCAGATGGATCTTTTGAGTACAGACCAGCCTGGTCTATAAAGCAAGTTCCAGGACTGCACAGAAACCCTGTCTTGAAAAACAAAACAAACATAAGTAGCTTTGAACCCTAAAGCCTAGGAGGAGCTTTCGTGTATCTTCCCTGATTCCCCCAAACCAGAGGCCTTTCCTCCCTCTCGGCTCCTTCCAGGGAACTTGTCTGTCACAGCACTGCCCTCGGTTCTCTTTGTGGTTGGTCATCCCAGCTGCCCTGTAGGCTGATGCCAGGAGCTCACAGTGCTCCTGACTCCGCCTCTCAAGTGCTGGGATTGCAGGTGGAAGCTGGCACCCATCCCTACCGGAGCGTCCCAGGGACACCTGTTTTACCTGGGAGAGAGTTCTTTGAGAATTTCAGCTGGTGCAGCTCTGCTGAGGGAACGTAAGAGCACCAACTTTTTGTTTGGTTTGGTTTTGGTTTTCAAGACAGGGTTTCTCTGTAGCTTTGGAGCCTGTGCTGGAACTAGCTCTTGCAGATCAGACTGGCCTCGAATTCAAGAGATCACCTGCCTCTGCCTCCCGAGTGCTGGAATTAAAGGCGTGTGCCACCACTGCCTGATTTTTTGTTTTGTTGATGCTTTTTTCCCCATGTCTTCAAGACATCTCAGGGTACCTCAAAACCCCACAGAAGAAAGGGTCCTTCTTTCTCTCCATTTTCCCAGCTATTCTCTGCTCTACTCTGGTGCCCTGGCAGGGGCGACCTCATTCACATGCCTGTATCCTGATGTCACAGTTGTTCTGGCCTCTGCCAGTCCTTGCCATTGAGCTCGGACCCCCGGTACCTTCCTTCCAGCTGTGTGACTACACCTCTGCCCCCAGAAGTGAAAGCAGACATTTGGGTTAGCTGTCTCCATGGCTGTGACTCTGGAGTTCTGCTTCCTCCCTGCTCTGTGTGCACAATGCTCTGGGAGGAAGCGAGGCCAGACTCCAGAAGCCAGCCCTTGTCTGTTCCCTCCAGGACCTCTTCTCAGCACTGATCAAGGGCCCCACTCGGACTCCTTACGAAGATGGCCTCTACCTGTTTGACATTCAGCTTCCCAACATCTACCCAGCGGTGCCCCCCCACTTTTGCTACCTCTCCCAGTGCAGTGGCCGCCTGAACCCCAACCTGTATGACAATGGGAAGGTGTGCGTCAGCCTCCTGGGTACCTGGATTGGAAAGGTAAGGATGGGCCCCAGTGGAGATGGTGGCACAGTGGGGCTGATGTCCACTTGGGATAGACCTGAAGGTTCCATTTGTGTTTCAGGGGACAGAGAGGTGGACGAGCAAATCCAGTCTTCTCCAGGTGCTCATCTCTATTCAAGGTATGACGGGCTGACAGGCACACCGGCGGCTGTTCCCCAGCCTGCCCTCGTGTGTTTGCCCACTAACTGGACTCTTTCCGGCAGGTCTGATCCTGGTAAATGAACCATACTATAACGAAGCTGGCTTTGACAGTGACCGGGGCCTGCAGGAAGGCTATGAGAACAGTCGCTGCTACAACGAGATGGCCTTGATCCGAGTGGTGCAGTCCATGACCCAGCTGGTCCGACGGCCTCCTGAGGTCTTCGAGCAGGAGATTCGACAGCATTTCAGTGTGGGTGGCTGGCGTCTGGTGAACCGCATTGAGTCCTGGCTGGAAACCCACGCCATGCTGGAGAGGGCCCAGGCACTGCCCAATGGGGTCCCTAAAGACAACAACTCTGTGGAGCCTCAGGCTGTAGCTGAACTCTCAGACTCCGGCCGTGAAGAGCCTGAGGATGTAGGGATGGCCCCTGGGGACGCCTCCCAGGGCTCAGACTCAGAGAGTGGTGCCCAGGGCCCGGCCTCAGCCAGCAGGGACCACACAGGGCAGACTGAGACAGCCCCTGATGCCTCAGCACCGCCAAGCGTTAGACCAAAGAGGAGGAGGAAGAGCTACCGCAGCTTCCTGCCTGAGAAGAGTGGCTACCCTGACATCGGCTTCCCCCTCTTCCCGCTTTCCAAGGGCTTCATCAAGAGCATCCGGGGGGTCCTGACGCAGTTCCGCGCCACCCTCCTCGAGGCAGGCATGCCCGAGAGCACAGAGGACAAGTAGCTCCCAGGCCTTGAAAAAGGAGTGTCACGGTGGGAGGGGCCAGCCGCTGCCTACTCCCTCCCTTCCCGAGAACTTGCCCCTCTCCCTGCCCCTTCTGTCCCCAGTTGGAGCCTTCCACTTCCCTCCTCCCTGCGGCAAGTTTGATGAAGTGCAAGAAGTGTCCCTCAGCCACGTTCAAAGGCAGGTCCCTGGGGCACTGGGACCTCCATTGCCGGTCCTCTGGTTGCTCCAGCCGAATGTCCTGGCACTTGTTCCCTAGCCGTCCCTTCTCAGGTCAGAGGTGGGGTGTTGAGGAACCTACAGATGGCAGGAGGGTGGACGTGCCTTGCATGACCTGTGGCTGCTCCTGCAATGCTCCTGGTCCCTCTCCTCTTCAGCTTGACTGTAGCCTCCCCACACCCCAGGTCCTGCTGCCACACTGGGTCCTCTAGTCCCCCATGCCTCCATCTCTTGGAGCTGTGGCTGGCTTTGGCCTGTCAGTGCATTACAGCCCTTTAGGCCTGTTGAACTTCCTCTCTAAGAGAGGTTGGGACTGAGCTAAGGTTCAGAGTAACACCCAAGAGAGGTGGTAGCCCTCACATACAAATATGGAGTCAAGGACAGGGTGCTGCTGGGAAGGAAATGGCTGTAGGTGCCTTGTGTGGGCAGTACTGACATCTGCTCCATGCTGAGACCACAGGGCATCTGCACAAACCAGGCCAGCAACAAGGGCCTCCCAACGGCCCCACCCAACGGCTCCTGTCAGCCTTGCTTATAGACTCTGCAGGCACGGGAGGAGGGAGGCTGGATGGTGGCAGGAGCTCCCCCCACCCCTACAGGCCCAGAGGTTTACAAGTTTCTAAGCTTTTGATAATGTGAAGCTCCAGGTAGAGGATGCTGGTGAGCAGACGGCAGCTGTTATTCCTGCTGTCTGTGTGTAATATTTAAGGTTGGGAAAATAATCTCAGAAGCAAAGATACTAACTCTTACTAGAAAAAAAGACAAATAAAAAGTAAAACAGACAAAAAAAAGAGCCAAAGCATGATGCGTCTTGTCAGCCTTAAGTGGGCTCCGTGCCTGTGCCGTGCCAGGACCACCGGGCATCAGAGCCTTGGGAAGGACAGAGCCAGAAACTGGAACACTCAGCAGGAACCTGTTGGTACCTCGCGGACACGATGAGTGCCGGGTGGGGCTGTGCATCCCAGGGCATCGTTCATGTGGAGATGTGAATGCCCGCTGCTTATAATATCTGTATAAAGTGCTGTGTGATTAAACTTTTTTTACTTGCCTTTTTTGGGGGGCTGACTCATTAACAAGACAAGGGGTCACCATTAAACCTGCCTCTGCCATTTGTTCAGGCTCTGCTGCTTTCTCTGTGCCAGAGGCCACCCTTCCGTGCCCTTTCCTCAAGGGAGCCTGGCAGTGGGTCCTTCTCCAGTCACGGGGTCTGTGGGGTGGACAGCTAAGTGTCCTGGTGGCAGTCAGCTCCACACTGGGTAGTGGACACCAGTGTGCTGAGTTCCAGATTCTGGGGGAACTGACGTCACAAAATCTAGCGATGGGCAGGTGTCACTGTTGCGGGCTGCAAGCTGGAATGGTTGTCCCAGTAGGGGGGGTGGCATCTACCCCTTTCCTGCTGCTCCCTATTCCTGTTGGAAGACAAGTGGGCCGAGAAGATGTCGTGGGTGTAACTACTGCCTGCTATTTTTCAGTTTGAAATGTGTTGTCAGAATCTCTTCACTGGAGAGAGCTTAGCAAGTCCTGACAAAAAGGTTCGGGTCCACTGGGAAGCCAGTGAGCTTTCTGGACTCAGTTGCGGATCATGGGTGAGGGTTTAGTCGCAGGAGCAGAGGGGACTAGTCACTAGAAAGTCCACCCAGCACAGGTAATGGTTTCCCTGGAGCCACGTGGATGGGATGTCCCCACTCCCCTCCCACCCCAGCACTCCCAAGACCAGTTGAAATTAGGGCAGAATTGTATAGAAATGGCCAGGAGATACCAGCGTCTTTTTGGCAGTGCCTAGTACACAGGCCCAGGTGATCACCCACACTCAACAGGATCTGCCTCCCGTTTGCCAGTCTCCCCAAGGCTTCTAACGAGGCTTCTAACGCAGTCCACTCAGTGCCAGCTTGATCTGAGGGCAGAGCCTCAGTCTTCCCATGTGGGGGTGGGGCAGCTGGCAGGCTTTGCGGGCCTCCGCAGCTGAAGGGAGTCTGATTATCGGTCCCTAAGGAGTCCGTGTGCCCAACACCAACATGACTGCGCCATAGGCACATAACAGTGATCGTGTGCTTGCGTAGCATGCCAGAGACCCTGGGTTCAATCCCCAGTACAATTTCATAGCCCTTGCTAGTGTAAAACCCCATCCTCTTCCCAGTCCTAGGACAGGATCAGCAGATTGGAAGTCACTTTATTTGGATTTGATTCTCAGAAGGGCCCCAAACACAATGGTGAGTGCCTTCTAGATGCAACTGCCCAGCCAGAGGGTGCCCGCCCAGATTGGCCTTCTAGCATTTAGGGGGCAGAGCCTTTCTTACAGCCCCACCTTCCTACTTCCCTACAGGGTCCCTACCACCTCCACGTGAGCTTTAGATAGCCTTCCATATGAGGGCATGGATGCAGGAGAGGGTCCCATCTCAGTGTAGACATAGACAAAGGCACGGAGAGCCAGGGAATCACAGTGGCTTTTCTGGAGATGGCCTTGGCTGAGGCTCCCAGCTGGACGGGGCATCTCTGCTGCCACAAACCATCCAAAAATAGTTTGGGTGCACTTGGCCCTGCACGGCTTCGCATGTCATCGACTCCCCATCCACGGAAAACATGCCCCTCTGGTTCTTGGGCTCCAGGCGGAAGGCAACCACAGGCACGTGCACCAAGTATGGGCAGTTACAGTCCATATGCTTGCCCTTCTGCATGGCCAGGAAGAGGCGCAGCAGCGTGGCCCTTGACACCCCCGCACGCACGTAGAACAGATGCATAACGCCAGCCTCACAACGGCCCATGGGTGCCGCGAACATTTCGGTGCTCAGGTGGGTATGTAGCAGTACCAGCACCAGAACGAAATCCTGTTCCGGCACCACTGTCCAGTGAGAAGGCACCGGCTCCTCCAGGGGAACAAGGTATGTGTCCACAGGGCCCTTGTGCGCCTGTGCCGGAGAAGCAGGCATCTCCGAGGCAGCATTTCCTACAGGAAGGTAGGCCAGTTGGCCCTGGTAGATTCGCAGGGTTGCTAGGCGAAAGATGGTCCCCATTGTGAAACGGATCTCCCCCAAGCGCCTGTACTTCTCACTCTCCAGGTCCACATCAGCAACGAAGCCCCAGGACAGGCTGAGCACAGAATAGAGCTGCAGTCCGGAAGCCGTGTGTAGTGACAACAGATTCATGGGTGACAGGTGTCGGCGGCATAAGAGCAGCGTGCAGTTGGTCAGGAGGGCTTCGCTAGTTACCTGCTCGTACCTGCAAGGTTAAAGTTCAGGTGGAATGGCGCAGGAAGCCCTCATGCATCCCCTTTTAGACCTTTTGGGGGAGACGGTGGACCTGGGGAGTTAGTGGACCCAGTGACCCAGTAAACTGAGGATGCGGCTCCAGAAGAGACAGTGGAGCTTCCCACAGGAACTTGGAAAACCTGGTGGTAGGGGACGTGGCCTGCTTGGACCCTCAGCTGTTACCCAGCATAGTAGTTCAAGGAAGCCGCCAGCGCGTTGCCGGACCCTCCGGGGAGGCAACACAGGGGCTTCCGGATGGCAATCTCCCAGTCAGGCCGTGACATCAGCCCATTCACCACCTGTGAAAGCAGAGTGGCCTCAGTCCAGGAAACTATCCCAAACCCTCTGCGCCATCCTCCAGCTCAGTTCTTACCTCGTGCATGAGACCATCACCGGACATGACCACCAGGGCATCCCAGTGGCTCAGTTCCTCCGCACACACCAGCTCCCTGGCATGGTTCTGCCGTTCTGGGGGGAGGATTTGATGCTCTCAGAGCTGGCTTTCTGCCAGAAAATGCTCCCTTCACCCCCTGGGGACAGTACTCACCGGTGAGCGTAAGTTTGAAGGATACTTCAGCCTCCTCCAGGAGGGGTTGCACAAATCTCTGGAAGAGCTGCAGAGCCTTGCCCCTGCCGCTCCGGGGGTTCAGCAGCACCAGCACTCTGCAGGGCCGCGGGAGCAATCCCCTAGGGCAGCCTGCTATTAAAAAAAAAAAAAAAAAAAAAAAAAAAAAAAAANAAAAAAAAAAAAAAAAAAAAAAAAAAAAAAAAAAAAAAAAAAAAAAAAAAAAAAAAAACAGGCAGGGCTGCAGAGAGGACTCAGGAATTTGAAGCACTGGCTGAGGATCCAGGTTTGGTTCCAGCACCTGGATGGTGGGTGATTCACAATGGCCCCAGACTTCAGTCCCAGGGGAATCCTACACTCTTTTCTGACCTTCAAAGGCACCAAGCACACATATGGGCGCACACACATACATATACACATGCTATCAAAACACTCATACACAAAAATTAAACCTTTAAACAAAAACAGCCTGGTGGTGGTGACGCACACTCGGTACTCGCAGTACTCGGGAGGCAGAGGCAGGTGAATCTCTGAGTTCAAGGCCAGCCTGATCCTCATCTATAGAGTGAGTTCCAGGATGGCCAGTGCTACATAGAGAAACCTGTCTTGAAAAACCAGAGAGAGAGAGAGAAACGAGGGAGGAAAGGAAGAAGGGAGGGAGGGGAAAAAAGAAGAAAGAAAGAGAGGGAGAAACAAAGAAGAGGGAGAGAGGGAAGGAAGGAAAGAGAAAGAGAGAGAGAGAAAGAGAAAGAAAGAAAGAAAGAAAGAAAGAAAGAAAGAAAGAAAGAAAGAAAGAAAAAGAAAGAAAGAAAGAAAGGAAGAAAGAAAGAAGGCAATGTCCCCAACTAGCCGCTAGAGGGCGGAAGAGCTGCAGTGACATGATCGGAGGAGCCCAATACTTGGGTAACAGCCCTGCTAGAGGAAGCGGCCTCCCACAGGTTGTCCCGGAGTGGGACTCCGCGAAACCTCTTTCTTTGGCTCAGGGCCAGACGACTTCTGACCTTGTGGGATAGAATGCTTCTCTCGAGCGACCCTAGGCTTTCTATGGTCCATCATTTATTTATTGGTCAAAGGGATCCATCCCTTTAGCTTTTCCCAGACAGGTACCCCACAAACCTGGTTCCATAGCCAGGTCCCGGGGCTCCCGCTGACAAGGGGCCACCAGCGCTGTCCCGGCGCTGCTAGGGGTGACGGCGACTCCTGTATTCAGCTCCTTATCGGTGTTACCCAGGAGGATGTCTGGCGACTGGCTGTGGGGCTCGCCCTCTCCACCTCCCTGGGCTGTGAGAGCGGCCCCGTCATTCCCCGAGGCGGCCAGATCTGAGGGACAGGAGGAGACAGTGTTGGTGGGGGTCGCTGCCTGGGCTCTATGCATGTGGGGCAGGGTGCCCAGCCAGAGCTCCTAGACCTCGCAGAGGGAGCTGCATGCTAAGGAATCACAGAGCTTCATGCGTCCAGAATCAAGCTTTCCAAACGGATCTCCCACCCCACGAACGTTCCGTTCCGGGGGACTCTGGATTCCGGCCCGACGAATGAGTCAGTGACCCGTGGCTCCCTTCGTCAGGCCAGCTCTTCACCCCTTGGGGTTGGTGGAGAGTCCCGTTGCAAAAATTCCCAGAACTGGCATTGCGAGGCGCTCACTCTGGCCCAGTCGCCGCGTCCCCCGCCTGAACTCCGAAGCCGCTGGGTCTCCGAGTCTCCAAAAGGGGTGCTCGCTGCGCTCGTGAGAACAGTGCCCAGGTCCCGCAGGATCCAGCCCGTGCTGGATGGACCCACGGCTGCCTTCTGCGCTGCCCCAGCACAAGTGTGCACTGAAGGCACAGACGTGTGGCGGTCTCCCTGGCGGGCCCACGAAGGCACCGCCAACTACGGGAGGGCAGGGGTGTGGAGGACAGCCCTACCCAGTCGGTCCCTCTAGCGGCCTGTGGCGGAAAGCAGCTCCTCTGGGCTCAACCTCGCGACTGAGGGACAACTGAAGCGCAGGGTTGGCACCGATTCCCAGGGATCGTTCCCCTCCGGTCTCAAACTTTTCTCTCAACTTGGCTGCGGCGCGGGGAGGGCGCTGAGTCTCTGCGCCAGCCTGGCCACGCCCCACGTGCCTTGGGCTCTCCTGGGTGGAACCAGCGCAGCGCGCCGCCCTGGTCCCCCACCCGCCCGGGATCATCACAGTGCCGCCCGCAACACGGTCGCTGCCACCCACGGCTCGGCCACGTGTAGATGTTGGGGGTGGGGGACTGGATCCCTCGGTTGTGCACCCCTGCCGAGGACAAGCTGGAGGAACAGCTCAGGAAACCAGCGAGGCGTGGAGTTCCGCGCACGGCTTTAAGTAGCGCGAAAGCGAGGGCGCAGCCCAGATCCCCGCGCCCAGCAACCGAGTGGGCCTCGGGTGCGCGTGGTTCCGCGCTCTCTCTGAGGACCCTGGGCTGCACCTCAACCGCTGCTCACAGTAGGGAGGCGGCGCCTCTTTGGCATCGCCTAGCCCCAGCCTGATCAGCAGAGAATTACACACCCAGATCCTTCCTGCTGTCCTAACTCTGAGCCAGGTCGGGTCACCCGCCACCCGCAAGCTTCTCTTGCTCCCCTGTTCCTCTGTGGTGGATTTACTTATAGCTTCCAGACGCAGCCGCTGGACCACTCAGCCGCCGAACCCGAAGCAGTTTGTCATGCCTTCCGGGAGAAAGCTGAACCGGTTTGGGGACTCTAGCCGGAGCACGAAGTCCGGAGGAGGGAGCCTCCTCAGCAACCTCCAAAGCTGGAGCCTTTCCCCCAGGGAATACTGTCGAGGCCTGGGCAGCTGCCTGCAGCGGATGATCCGGATCCACGATCCTCACCAACTGGAGAAACCCAACAGCGTGGACAGGGGCACTGGGGGGCTCTCATCGGGATTGGAGGGGCAAGCATGGGGGCGTGGTCCCATCGCTCCCCACCCCCTGGGACAAGTTCCTGGTGAAGACGCACGGGACCGGGAGTATGCGCTTCGGTGGAGATAAACAGGACGCACGGGTCGTTGTGTAAGTGATATATTTCACGGCAAATGACCTAAGGGGGTCCATAGCTAACCCGACTTAAATTTCTGGAAGATTATTCGCGGAGACTGGGACAATGAAGCTCCCAAGTCCGACTCGGTGACCTACCCAGGCAGGACCAAAACAGACAGCAGACCCTCGGAGGAAGGAAGTTGCAATGGTCCGGCTCCAGATGCGGAGGGCTCGCACGCCCACACCGGCCCCCGCGCGACCCCACACACCTCTCTCTTTGCATCGCCTTCTTAAAGTCCAGAAGGTGCGAGTTCCGGAGGAGCAGGGGAGCAGATAACAAGGCGTTGCAGTGAACTGGGTCACGCCTTGAAGGTGGCCTCTCTCCCAGCGGACTCCTGAGTTCCCAACCGAGTTTCTCACTATTTTAGGGGTCCCCGGCTGGCCAGGGGACGCAGGCTGAACCTGCGGTTCCGCACGCGTCTCTGCAATATGTACCTTGGCTCTGCACCGCCCCGGGACAGCCTGACCCGAGCCTTCCGAGAAGGTGACTCAGCGACACACTCGCGGGTGGAGAAACTCCCGGAAACAAAAAACTAGAGGAGTTGGAGGAAGCACGGGCGTCATCATCCACCCCCAGTGCAGCCGCGCGTGGTCACGGAGATCTGGTCCTGCACCCACCCCCATCTCCGGCTTCCCACCTCACACCCCAGGAATCCAGCGCGGACAGGGGATGGCGGCTCTGCAGCCGCAGTGCCGCGGTCACGCGCTGCGAGGACGCGAGCGAGCCGTGGTGGGAGGAGGGGGCTCAGTCAGATCTTACTGCCGCTCGCTCCTCTTTCTGTCCTGTCCCACCCCTTTCCAGAGATGTGGGGTCCAGGTTGGCTTTGGCATCTAGCAAACTCAGGAAGCTATTCTCCCCGAGATTTCGAGCTTGGAGGGGGCTGGTTGCCCAGGCGCCTACTCCCCCCCCCCCCACATTTTTGGGGAAAGGGCTGTCTACCAAGCCTGAAAAGCTAGTTGTTAGCAACTGAAGAGGGGAAACTGAGGCATGGGAAAGGGAAAACCGGGCTGCGTGTAAATCCATGCTCTAAATGCTGACCTGGAGCAGGGGTCGTGCTTTTCCTTGGGGCGTGGGGCTGGATCCTCTCAGACTGCAGGCCAGCTGGGGCGAGGTTGACGGAAGACTTTGAATTGGTGAGAGAAGCAGACCCAGCCTGCAAGGCTCTTTATCCCTGGGCCTCAGGGCCAGTTCCCTTCCTGACCCTGAAGATCCGGTGGGAGGGGGGGTTCCAGTCTGGCCCCAGTTCCAGTCGGCACAATGGCTCCTCTGTACTCCCAGCTGCCTCATCCCCTGGCCTCCTCACCTCTTTGGCCTTTGCCTCTCTTATCCTCCTTACCCTCCCCCATCCTGGGCAGCCTTTCTAGACACCATCCCTTTCTAAAGAACTTTATCCTAACTCCAGAAACCGTGGAACTGCATCTCTAGCCCCGGATCCAGGACTAGACATGAACAAGATGTTGGTTTGTGAGCTGGATGATGGTGGCGCACGCCTTTAATCCAGCACTCGGGAGCAGAGGCAGGCGGATCTCTGTGAGTTCGAAGCCAGCCTGGTCTACGAGAGCTAGTTCCAGGACAGGCTCCAAAGCCACAGAGAAACTCGTCTCAAAAAGCAAAACAACAACAATAAAAAGATGTTGGTTTGTGTTTGTGAAACTTGAAGGAACTGAAACCCTGAGAGATTAAGGATCTCAATGGAACTGTCAAACCAATTCCCAACACAGCTGAGAAGAAAGGTGAGCCCTTCCCCCAGTCTGTGAGGCCATGTCCCTCCAGAGGGGATCTGGGGATCTGTTAGCCTGGCGGATTTTCAACCTCAACAGCCTCTCCAGGTACCCAGCAGCCCGAGGGTCTCCAGGAGAAGGAAGGCAGCACTTACCCCCAAGTGCTCCCCTCCCAATGTGCGCGCGCACGCACACACACACACACACACACACACACACACACACACACGTTAACCAGCCTGTGTCCAGCAAGACCCACCTAGCCTTAGCCTCAGACCAGTCAGGAGTCCTCTGTTTTTGGCCACACCTGTCTCACAGACAAAGGCTTTGTTTTCCTCCCTGCATGGCTTTCCCAGAATGGAAATATCTAATACGTTTCCCCCAACTGCCTCCCCTACCTCAGGCCAGAGAAGAGACAAGCAAGCAGTCACGAGACCTGGCCTCTGCACCCCAGGAACTCAAGGCTACCAGGTGACCAAACATGTAAATGTTTTTTGTTATTTACATGTTTATGTGTGTGTGTGTGTGTGCGCGCACACGTGCGCACATGCACGCGTGCACTGGCATGCCATAATATGAGTATGAGTGTAAACGTCAACGGACTTTCTTGTTCTCTACATTGTGAGAATCCCCGGTGCTTGAACTTGGGGAGTCAGGCTTGGTGGCAGGGACCTTTACCTGCAGAGTCATCACTGGCCCTGGTTGTTTTCCTTAGGTCGGGATGCCTGGCGCCTCACCCACCATGCCTGAAGCTACCTTCTGTGGGTGATTTTTATTTTATTTTTACGGCATTCGACAGGGCTTTGTATCCCAGGCAGTCCCTGAACTTGCTACGTAAATGAGGATGGCAGCTTTCCTGACCTTCCTGCCTCCACCTTCCTACTGTTCGGAGCGCAGGTTTATCCTACCACATCAAGCCCATGTAATGCTGCCAATCAAACCCAGGGCTTTGTGCGTACACGAGGCCAGCAAGAGACCAACTGAGTCACTCTCCTTGTCCTTGACAGTGGCTTTGTTTCGTAATTTTAAAAAGCATCTGCAGGTCCACTTAGTTTTGTGCGTGGGTGTTTTGCCTGCATCTCTGCGTGTACACCACACATGTACATGTGTGTCTGTGCCTGTGGAGGTCAGGAGAGGCATTGGATCTCCTGGAACCGAAGTTATGTATGGTAATGAGTCTCCTTACGGGTACTGTGAACTAGCCCCGGGTCCAGCCTCAAACTCGAGGCAATCCTCCTGTCTCAGCCTCCTGAGTGCTGGGATCACAGGCTCAGCTTCCCTGGTGAGTTCAGCTCCTCAAGTGCAGGCCTTTTGGGCCTCAGATTCTTTCTGTTTTTACTGTCACTGCCTGGGAAGTTGCAAGAGAAAGGAACCGTTCACCTCTGAAAACGGTAAGCTGTTCCCAGACAGTCGGATGTGTGGCTTTCCGTTCTGATTGCTCCCAGAACTGCTCCATGATGGCCGTGCCAGGCATTGCTTGGGAGTGCCGCGGGCCACATAGGGAGGTGTGGAGGCCCAGAGAGGCTGTGCAGGATGCCTGGCTGTGTGTTGGAGTGTAGACTTCACCTGGGGTTCCTCTTCTGTGCGATGCTCTACCCCGGCTCTACCCTGGCTCTACCCTGGCTCTACCCCGGGTCTACCCCACTCTACCCTGGCTCTAACCTGGCTCTACCCCGGGTCTACCCCACTCTACCCCAGCTCTACCCTGGCTCTAACCCGCTCTAACCCCGGCTCTACCCCAGCTCTACCCCGGCTCTACCCCGGCTTTACCCCAGCTCTACCCTACCCCAGCCCGGCTCTACCCTGGCTCTACCCCACTCTACCCCACTCTACCCCGGCTCTACCCCACTCTACCCCGGCTCTACCCTGCTCTACCCTGGCTCTACCTCTCTGATGGTTTGAATAGGAATGGCCCCCAGAGGCTCCTCTATTTGAGTGCTTAGGGAGTGGCATTAGGAACTGTGGCCTTTGGGGTTTCAAAAGCCCCATCCAGTGCCAGTACTCTCTCTTAGAGCTCTCAGCTCCTTCTCCAGCACCAGATCTGCCTGTTGTTCTCTCTCTCTCTCTCTCTCTCTCTCTCTCTCTCTCTCTCTCTGTTTTGTTTTTTTTTTTTTGAGACAGGGTTTCTCTGTAGCTTTGGAGCCTGTCCTGGCACTAACTCTTGTAGTCCAGGCTGGCCTCGAACTCACAGAAATCCACCTGCCTCTGCCTCCCCCCTGCCTCTGCTTCCCGAGTACTGGGAATTAAAGGTGTGCACCACCACCACCGCCCGGCTTGTTATGGTGTCTCTTTACAGCAATAGAACATGGACTAAGGGGCTGGAGAGATGACTCAGCGGTTAAGAGTACTGATTGCTCTTCCAAAGGTCCTGAGTTCAATTCCCAGCAACCACATGGTGGCTCACAACCACCTATAGTGGAATCTAATGCCCTCTTCTGGCATGAAGGAGTACATGCAGACAGAAAGCTCATTCTTTTCTTTTTCTTTTTAGTTTTCGAGACAGGGTTTCTCTGTGGTTTTGGAGCCTGTCCTGGCACTAGCTCTTGTAGTCCAGGCTGGCCTTGAACTCACAGAAATCCACCTGCCTCTGCCTCCCCCCGCCTCTGCCTCCCGAGTACTGGGATTTAAAGGCATACGCCACCACTGCCACCCAGTTTAAGCTCATACATTTCAAAACAAAACAAAACAACACCAATTAAGACAACCTCTTAGGAACTCTCCTTGGCCTCCTGGGCCACCTTGCTGCAGCTGGGACCCAGGCCCCCTGGGCCTTTGGACTCAGTTTCCCATATACCCTTCCCCCTCAGCCTTGTTGACTCTGGCTAAAACACTCTGGAATCTGAACACCCACAGGTGTGCCAGTTGGCTGATCCCAGACACCTGCCTAAACATCCCGGTGGCTCAGAAAAGCATCTCCCTGTGTCAGCAGGCCTGGTGTCTCCTGAGGTTTGGGGGGGAGGGTAAATTGGAGGATGCTCCTGATTTCTGCCTGTAGTCCTCGGGGTTCCTTGACCTGTTTGTGGTCACCCTGGTCTCTTCCTCTTCATCTAGCTTCACCTCTGACTTCTTAGATTTGTTTATATATCCATACAGACAGACAATGTTTTCAAGGTTAGGCAAGCTCACCTGTACACGCACGCACACGCACGTGTGAAAGGCAAAGATTCTAGGCCATCTCTGTTTGTTTTTGAGACTGTGTCTTACTGTAGATCAGGCTGGCCTTGAGCTTGGAGATCCTTCTTCCCCTGTGCTGGAGTTAAAGACACACACTGCCACCATAACCAGTTCTTCCTCTTTTTTTTTTTTTTTTTTTTGGTTTGGCTTTTGGTCTTTCAAGGCAAGGTTTCTCTGTGTAACAGCCCTTAGCTGTCCTAGAACTAGCTCTGTAGACCAGGCTGGCCTCAAACTCACAGAGATCTGCCTGCCTTTGCCTCCGAGTGCCAGGATTAAAGGTGTGCGCCACCACCTTCTCACAGCTGGACTTATTTTTGAGACAGTTTATCTCTTTGAAACTAGAGCTAGTTTCAGCTAAACTGGTCGGCCAGCATGCCTTTGGAATCTACCTTTCAACCCCGATCCCAGCTCCAGAGATGTCTCGGGCGTGTTCCCGCATACCCGAGTTTTACATGTATGCTGGAAATCTGAACTCAGGAACTCAGTTTGTACAGCTAGCACTTAACCCACTAAGCTCCAACCCCTGAAAATATTTTCTATAATAAAATGCCTCTATGTGGCACTAGAGATTAAATCCTGGCCCTTGGGAATACTCTGCCTGAGCTACACTCCCAGCCCAAGATGTATGGGTTAGACAAAGATGCAGCCTTCATTACCTGGTCAAGAAACACTCCTCAAGCTTGAAGGAGTGGGCGGGGAACCTCATAAGCTCTTAGGACCATTATGAATCAAGGTTCTATGCCTTCAGTAGAAAGACATAACAACACTGGGCATCCTGAAAAGGGGAACTGATATGAATAGTGCCTGGGAGTTCAGGAAAAAAGGGGGGTGCCTGGAAGCCAAGCCTACCGCCTTCTTCCCAAGCATGGCCCAGGTGCGATTATTGCATGTATCTGCAGGCAGCCAGGCTCCTGCACTATTTTGGCTACCTTGACCTTCAGATCCTGGCTTCTCCCTTGGCTTATGACAGCTCCAGCTTCCTGAGCAGATGGATTGTTCCCCAATCCCTGGAGGAGCAAAGCCTAGCTTTGCATTGGATGCTGCATGACATGTCTTCACAGCAACTCAGGCTTAACACAAATTTATTCTAACTGTTCTGGACCTGTGGTCTGTGGAACCTCGCCTTTTCTTCAGGCTGCATTCCTTGGTACAAGGACCCTTCATAACCAAAGCCAGTCATTGATACATCCTCAGAATGTATTTTCTTTCTTTTTATATTTATTTATTTTGCTTTATCGATACAAGGTTTCTCTGCAGCTTTAGGGCCTGTCCTGGAACTCGCTCTGTAGCCCAGACCAACCTCGAATTCAGAGCGATCTGCCTGCCTCTGCCTCTGAGTGCTGGGATTAAAGATGTGCACCACCACTGCCTGGCTTCAGATTTTATTTCAAAATTCCTTCCTTCCTTCCTTCTCCCTGTCTCTTGCAAGGTCCCTGGGATCATTGACCCCTGCCAAGTGCCCCCAGATAAATTTCTGTCTCCAGACTCTTTCTCACGTACCCTGAACTGGTCTCAAGGATAGCCTTGAATTTTTGTTCCTTGTGCATCTACTTCTCAAGTATTGGGATATAGGCCTGCGAGATCACACCCAGTTTACATGGTACATGCGCCAGAACCCCAATCTTCCTTTATGCTTCGTAAGACTCATCCAACTGAAGCCTAGCCCCACCCTCTCTCCACATCCATATTCTTTTCGGTGTTTGTTTTATTTATTTAATTTGAGACAGGGTCTCACTATGTATCTCTGTCTTTTCTAGG